ACACCTATTCAAGCAACAGATGAAAATCAAGCTATTGGGAAATGCCGACCGCTTTCCCACACTACAGTCCAAATTATCCTATGCATTCAGCCGATTGGAGGGGGTCGCCGCCAATCAGTTCTTACAATACGTTGGAGAAGAAGGCATCGCTTTGCCTTCCATGTTACGGTTTTATGAAATCTTATATACTGCTTTTGGGGATCCTGATCGAATGCGTACAGCTAGTAGGAACCTTAGGAACATCCGTCAACGAAACAGAACCTTTGCTGATTACTTCGCCGAATTCCAACGGTATGCTGCCGAGTCAGGGATGGATGAAGTCTCTCGGATTGAGGCTTTAATGGAGGGTATTAATGCGGAACTCGATGAATCGATGATACACCATGAAACTCCTGCGACAGTAGATGCCTGCGCGACACTTTTGCAACGGTTAGATAATCGACGACGAGCGGCAGAAGCTAAGCGAGGAAATAAAAAGCCTTGGAATGCTACTGCTGCTCCGACCCCTCGCCCCCCACCAGGGAATCCTGCCCCTATTCCTCGCGCTGCCGCCCCAGCTGTCAATGCACCTGCCCCTGAGAACCATCCCTCATTCCGCCCGGGAGGTGATGTACCGATGGATCTGTCCGGGGGACGTCGTCGCCCCACCCCCGCCGAAAGAAACGCCCGCTTAGCTGAGGGCCGATGTTTCTATTGCGGAGGAGTCGGACATATGGTTAGGGATTGTCCCCAAGCAAGGACAACTGGAAATCAACCAAGAAGACCGGTGATGAGGGGAGCGGCGTTGAGGGTGGAGGAAATTGATGGAAGTGATAACGAGTCGGCAAAAGATTTGTCCCTGCACTAAGTGGCTTAGCCCAGGGACCATTGAAGGACTTTTCTAGGATGCATATTTCTGGGTTTTCGGTATCTGAGGAGGAAATGGATGGGAACCAATTTGTAGTAACTTGTTCTATTTAACAGAATAAAAATACTTTCGTACCCACCTACGCCCTTATTGATACCGGAGCCTCAGGATATGCTTTCATCGATGAATCTTTTGCACGCCACAACAATCTTACCATGACCTCACTCAAAATCCCACGACATGTAGACGTTATAGACGGCAGACCTATCAAGTCAGGAAAGATTACTCATATTGTTGATGTCTCGTTAGACATTCATGGCCATCGAGAGACTGCGTCATGTTTTGTGACAAAGTTGGGACACTATCCGATTGTGATGGGGATACCTTGGATGCGACGCCATGATGTTACGATTCGACCAAAAGAAAATTTGCTTATCTTCAACTCTCAAAGCTGCCGTCAATATTGCTCGCTTAGTGGAACTACAATTACGGTTCATGGTATATCAATCCCCCTACCGGAAACTCATACCGTCACCGTCGCAGCGACCGAGAAACCTACTATCGATATTAACAAACCAATACCGAAGGAGTTCCACCGCTATATCCATATGTTTGAAGAATATGATGCTTCAGCGCTTCCACCACATCGACCGTTCCATGATATGAAGATAGTATTAGAAGAAGGCAAACAACCACCATGGGGACCAATATATGCTTTATCCCAAACGGAGTTGAAGGCACTTTGGGACTATCTTCAAGAGAACCTACCTAAGGGGATTATCCGTCATAGTGAATCACCAGCGGGGGCACCTATCCTATTCGTCAAGAAAGCCGATGGAACTCTTCGTTTATGTGTCGACTATCGGGGCCTCAATGCAATTACGATTAAGAATCGTTATCCATTACCGTTATTGAAGGAAACTTTGGCCAAATTGTCAAGAGCAAAATACTACACCAAGTTAGATTTACGTTGGGGGTACAATCAAATTAGAATAGCGGAAGGAGACGAATGGAAAACGGCATTCCGGACTCGGTACGGACATTTTGAATATACGGTGATGCCCTTTGGATTAGCGAATGCTCCTGCTACGTTCCAACATTGGATCAATGATATCCTACGTCCCTATTTGGATCAATTCGTGACAGCTTATTTGGATGATATCCTTATCTATTCCGAGTCTCTTATAGAACATAAGGATCATATTCGAAAAGTTCTAAAAGTACTTGATGAAAATCATGTTCATCTCAAACCCGAAAAATGCGAATTCATGGTTCAAGAAACAAAATACCTGGGCCTGATCCTCACTCCGAATGGTAATCGAATGGATCCGAAGAAAGTTATTGATGTTTTAGAATGGTCCACACCGATGAATCTCCATGATGTGCAAGTATTTTTGGGATTTGCAAACTTTTATCGACGGTTCATCTTAGGATATTCAAAGATTGTTGCCCCATTTACAGCCCTAACAAAGAAAAATGTTAAATTCGAATGGACGGATGAAAGGGAGGAAGCATTTCAAACCTTAAAGAAGATGTTCACAACAGCACCTATACTAGTTCATTTCGACCCGGATCGAAAGATTGTGGTGGAAACCGATGCATCTGATTATGTCTCAGCAGGTATCCTTTCACAACGCGATGATGAAGGAGTTTTACATCCAGTCGCTTTCTTTTCCAAGAAACATTCCCCTGCGGAATGTAACTATGAAATCTATGACAAAGAACTTCTAGCGATTGTTCGATGCTTCGAAGAATGGCGACATCATCTAGAAGGAGCACAATTCCCCATTGAGGTTTTCAGCGATCACCGAAACCTGGAATATTTCATGACGACAAAATTATTAAATCGTCGACAAGCCCGTTGGTCTGAATTTCTTTCACGTTTTGATTTTATTATACAATTTCGACCGGGAAAACAAGGAGCAAAACCCGATGCATTAACTAGAAGGTCAGGTGACCTACCTAAAGAGGGGGATGAAAGGTTGACGCATCAGAGCCAAGTGGTTCTGAAGCGAAAAAATTTGGATACAAAGCTAAGTTTGTTCGCGGGTTCTTTATCAAATGAATCCGCTGAAGGAATGTCTACTGTGGAGGAGTTATTTTCAAAAGCTTACCAAGTTGATAGTTTCCCAAACGAGATTCTTGTTATGCTCCGGGGCGACGTTCGACATTCAAACAAAATTTCACTTGCCGAATGTATGGAAGACAACAACGGTCGGCTACTTTATCGAGGTGCACTCTACGTACCAAATGACAGTGACCTCCGACTGAGACTACTAAAAGAACATCACGATAAACCATCAGCAGGCCACCCGGGTAGAGCAAAGACCTTGGAACTCTTAAGTCGGGAGTATTATTGGCCACAAATGCGAAAGGATGTCGATCGATATGTCAGAAATTGTAATGTGTGCGCCCGTAGCAAGGCACCCCGCAATGCACCCTATGGAGTACTTCGCCCCATGCCAATACCCGATGGACCATGGACGGATGTCTCGATGGATTTTGTTACCGACCTTCCGGAGAGTGAGGGTTACAATGCGATTCTAGTTGTTGTTGATAGACTAACCAAAATGCGACACCTAATACCAACAACTAAAGAGGTGGATTCGAAGGAAGTAGCAAGGCTATATATCGATAACGTTTGGAAATTACATGGACTACCTGATACGGTTGTGTCCGATAGAGGAACGCAATTTGTCGCGGAATTTTGGAAATCACTTTGCAAACGCCTGGAAATATCTCCACGATTCTCCACCGCATTTCACCCTCAAACCGATGGACAAACTGAAAGGATCAATGCCGTAATGGAACAGTATCTTCGAAGTTATGTTTCTTATCAACAAGATCATTGGACCCGATTATTGGCAATGGCGGAGTTTGCAGCAAACAACCATGTGTCGGAAACAACCAAGGTTTCTCCTTTCTATGCCAATTCGGGAAGGAATCCACGGATGACTTTTGGCCCCTTGGAACATGGCAAAACGACAGCGGAAGATCAGGCCAATAGCATCGCAAAAGAAATGAAGGATATGGTGGAATTTCTGAAAAGCGAAATGTTTCGGTCACAAAGGATACAAGAGGAATCAGCTAATCTCACTCGTTCTCCTGCTCCTCGCTATTGTATAGGAGATAAAGTTTTCTTATCGACACGCAATGTTCTAACAAGGCGACCCTCCAAGAAGTTCGATTGGAAACGGATTGGTCCTTATAGCATCAAACGAATCGTCAATCCCTATGCTTATGAACTAGAACTTCCCCGTTCTATGAAGATCCATCCAGTATTCCATGTTTCATTATTGTCACCCGAAGCAGGCAATCCATTACCGGGACAACAACTATCACCACCACCCCCAGTCGAGATCGAAGGGGAGGAAGAATGGGAAGTCGAAGACATTTTAGATTCCAGGAAACGCAAGGGAAAGTTTGAGTACCTGGTACGGTACAAAGGATATGACGATGCCTCGTGGCAGCCGTTATCGGACCTTAAACATTCGCCCGACATCATTCGACAATTCCATGAACGTTATCCACGGAAACCTAAGCCTACCAGGAGATAGGCCTTAGAGGGGGGCGTAATCTGTAACGGCAATATTATCTGTTAGCTAGGATGATCGATTGGATTGTGGAGGGAAGGTATTGCGCAGTTGTATTAGGATTTGTAATGGGGTTTCTGTTATGTTCTTTGGGTTTCCTTTACGCGAGGTATGAGTCATCAATGGACTAGAGCCTAGATATATAAAAGGGTGTTGTCTCGTGCCTTTTCATGTTTTCCTTCCCTTTCCTTTTCTCTTCACGGAACTTCTTGTACTTATTCCACGAATACTACTTGGTTCTACACCTCGTCATAGGGCTTAACTAGTTAGTCATACTAGGCAAAGCCACTCCATAGTCCACAGTCTCGAATACCTATTGCTACGTCCTCCCCTCGGTTGTATTCCTTGGCATCATAGTCCCTACGTCCATAGACCCCCGTTACACCCGCTTCCCCGATACCCAATCAACCCAACAAACACAGTCCACCACGATCGAACAAACCCAACTCGATAACGAACCTTTCTCTATCTTCGCTGAACATACCCAATACAATGAGCCATATGCACCAAAGTATGATTACATCCACCCCAGCATCGTTCCCCAAGAAACCCACGCCAGAATGGACCTAAAGTACGTCTCCTGGGTAATTAGAAATGCCCTCACTGTAGCACTTGAACCCCTCAACCAAACAACCGAGCAGATCAATAAGGACCTAAAAGCTACCATTGAAGTCCTATCCACCCAAAACGACTCCCTTAAACACACCGTCGACGTCCTGGACAAACAAATGTTTGAAATAACAAAGAACCAAGACAAAACTTCCGAAAAACTCCATCGCGTCCAACAACAGCTCACCAACCTCTCTGTCAACAGACCTAGCAACCAAGCAGTCAACGAAGGAAGAGCTGCCGCAATCGCCGCCGTCGCCGCTGCCACCACCTGTAATGGGGGTGCTAGGATGGGCACGACCGTGACTTGGATCAAATTGGAAATGGTAAACGGGGAATGATAGATTATCATTCGGCTCATTCGATCCAAAGATGGGGTTTATTTGATTGATCGTATTTGTAGTCTAAAAAACTTAATAACTTTAAGGGGTCTCCTCGCTAGTAAAGATTCCATGACTCCCCGAGTTCAAACTGGGGGCAACCGAGTACTTTTTATCGAAGTTCCGGCCCCCTTTTTCCCGCTTTTCTCTTCTCCGGCCCTCCCTAGTCCGGGGCCACCGCGACCTTTTTCTATGAGGGGCGAGAGGAGTTGCTACCACACCTCGGACAAACTTCCGCCCGAGTCAAATCACGCAATCTCTGCCAAGAGCTGGTCGGGATCCTAAGAACTAGCGGAAACAACCGACCAGATAGCAATTGCTTATTCAATTTGTTTTAGAACAGATTTGGTGTTTTGTAAAGCGAGGTTTGCTTTTAGTAGCTTGGGTCGTACACCTACTCCCCCTCAAAGGTGCACCGGACCGAAACAGGAGGATTCCGGCGGTTCGACGCTCCGGGGGTTATTTTTGGGGTCTAAAACGTGTTTATTTTGCAGTGTTTCCTCAACTCCGCAATCCGTTCATTCAACCGCCCCAAATGGACTGGAGCATCGTCAGGATCCTTTCTGACGTGGTAAAACATATTTTCCGAGCATTGGTTGCTAAGTTATTGCGCCTCAAAGATTGACTTCCAAGGTAGGGTAACTTATGTTTGGGGTTACCCTTCTTTTATTTGGCATGCTCGTCCTTCTGCTCTAGTTTTGGTCCAGTCGTTTAGCTTGACTTATAAGACTTCTTGCTCGCCAGGAACCCTTCATACCAATAGAGGTAGGGGTCATCTGCCCTTATCTTCACCCATCGATGAAGAACAAGTGGTGATTACCCTAGGGTCGTATGGCTTGACTGGTAGAACAGGTACTTTTGTAACAGCCCTACTGTGGCTCTGTTACAATCGACAACTACCTCCCAGCCAACCCAGAAACCCAATGCTCTAAATGCTTGGAATATGGCCACCGACATGAAAGATGCTCCCACCAAACCGGGAGATGTGGACACTGCGCAGAAGACCACCAAACAATGGAACACCCATGCTCCGAATGCTCAGGAGGCACCAGATGTATCCATACACCCATCCGATGCTACCACTGCAAGGCCCCCCATAAAGCAACAGACGCCAACTGCCCAGAACGCACCAAAATCCGCATTACAAACAAACTTGGACCAGACACAAACCCAAGCCCGCTACCAATACCCATTGTCATCCCGGCCCAAGATCCCCCACAAGAAGACGCAGCCATGGATAACACCCAATGAGCCACACCAAAAGGGCCACGGCTATCGCACAGCAACTGAACTGCGCGAAAAATGAGCTTACAACAAAGTCAGTGGTGGAGGAAGCAGAACAGGACCACAACATACTCTTTCTTTTGTTACAGGAACCATGGAATAATAAGGACGGCCACCCACCGGAATCCCCCCTCTTCTATCTATTTACGGCCAGCAATAAAGTCACCAAAGCCGCCACATATATCAGAAAACACGTCAACCTAAAACCAAAACACCATTACACACACAATAACTTCATCGTCTCCGTCACGGTGGAAATCCAAAGCCAAAAGACACAAATCCTCAACATATACTCACCGGGGCGAAGCGGACCCTTTGCAGAAATCTCCCGACAAATAACGACCATCCAAAATTGCCTTGTCATGGGAGACTTCAACAGCCACCACCAACTCTGGTATGGACATAGATCCCACGACTACACCAACACGATTAGAACAGACAAATCCGGATTCAAGAAACTGAAAAGATGGATCGATCGACAAAAGCTATCCCTACTCAACGAACCAGGCGAATTCACACATTTCCTCAGGAATAACAACAGACCGACCATTATTGACCTGACATTAGTCAAAGGACCAATACTGGACCACGATACCCTGTGGAATATTGACCGATATGGAGCAGGTTCCGACCATGGGAAAACCATTCTGCAACTACGGATAGAGAAACCCCCCCACACTCCCAGAAGACTATGGCACCGAACGAACTGGGGAAAACTGGAAGAAAACATCTCAAACCTCCAATTCCCCCCCGAAGCGTGGGAAAGCCAGAACCACACAAAACAATCGGTTGACTTCATCCTCAAGCACATAGACAATCTAATAGACCAAGTCACCCCGTGGAGCCAAGGACACCTCAAATCCAAGAGATGGTGGACCCCAGAACTGAAGAAACTCAAATCAACCCTCAACACACTAGAAAGGAAAGCCAAAAACACCCAAAAAGACGAAGACAGAGAAGCATTCAGGAAAATCAGCAGAAAGTGGACTGCAGCGATCCGCAAAACCAAGGCGGAACAAAGGGAGAAAGGGAGAAAGAAATTACGGAGGCCAAGGGAAGTGCCATCTGGAAACTAGTCAACAAAGGGAAAAGAAGGGACATCACAATCCCAACCATTCAAGGTGAAGAAACGTTTGCGGGGAAGTGCCAAGCTCTAAGAGCCCAACTCTTCCCCACAAATTGGACGTCCCCCAACAACTCCCCACTCCAAATAAGACCCCCCTCATTTGACCTTAGTGATGATTTTCAGGAAGTAACAACAGAAGAAATTACATCCGCAATCAAATCATGCCCAACACACTCAGCCACCGGCCCTGATAACATTCCATACCCATTCATACAAGCAACAATCAAGGCGAACACCCAGCTCTTCCAAGATATGTTCTCAGCCATGCTCCGACATGGAGTCCAACCAGATCGATGGAAAGTGGCGAAATGCATACCAATCCCAAAACCAGGAAAATCCGACTACTCATCGGCCAAAGCCTACCGACCCATCTCTCTATTACAATGCTTTAGCAAAGTACTGGAAAAGATAGTGGCAACAAGACTATGCACTGCCGGAACTATCCTGGAAACCCTTAGTAAAAACCAATTCGGAGGCAGACCAACAATCTCAGCGATCGATGCTTTACTCCGCACGCCTACGCCCATCCAACAGAACCTCCTGATCAAACGAACTACAGGAACTACCCCAGACAGACCAGCACTCCTCACAAATGATATACAAGGAGCCTTCAACTGTGTCGACCACCTCCTACTCGCCGAGATCATGACCCAACAAAAATTCCCAACATACCTGACGACCTGGTGCAAGGAATTCAACACCAATCGAACACTTCAATTCCAATTTAACCACGAACTGGAACCACCATGACCATATACCTCAGGACTACCCCAAGGATCCCACCTTTACCCAGTATTATTTATGATATACGCTGGGGTAATAACAGACCCCACCAACTCTCCCAAAGAAATCAACACCACCTACATCGACGACGACGCACTCATCCACCTCGCGAAGTCCCCTCTCTTCATCACCAAAAGACTTAACGAAAGGATGGAGGAAAGAATTAAGAAAGCAGAACCCCTCAACATCAAATACGAACCCCAGAAATCCGACCTAGTCTTCTTCAAACCCACAACATCAAGCACCCCGAACCCCAAAAACTCGTTAATAATCGCAAAAGAAGAAATCCACCCCAAGGATAGACTCAAATATATAGGAGTCTGGCTGGACTCAACGCTCTCCTTCCGACCACACATCGAAGAAACCATCGCCAAAGGCCTCAAAGCCCTAGGCAGAATCAGAAACATCGCCTACCTCCCAGGATCAACAGTAAAATCCGTCCACCACCTCATCGTCCAAGGCTTCCTCCCCACCATCCTATGGGGATCGGAGGCAAGGTGGACAGGAGCCGACCACATCCTCCGATCACTATCCCCTCTCTACAACGAAGCCGCCAGGATAATAACAGGCCTACCCCGCTGGACAAAAGCCGAAAAACTACTGAAAGAGGCAGCACTCCCCCCACTCGAACACCTCCTCAACCACAAATCACGGAAGTATGGGACGCGCATTCTCTGCCACCCTGCGGACCACCCACTCAACGAAGGACTTGTAACAGGGCCACAGTAGGGCTGTTACAAAAATACCTGTTCTACCAGTCAAGCCATACGGCCCTAGGTTAACCGCAGCTGGTTCTTCATCGATGGGTGAAGAGAAGGGCAGATGCGCCCCTACCTCTATTGGTATAGAGGGTAGAGATCCTGGCGAGCAAGAAGTCTTACAAGTCAAGCTAGACGACTGGACCAAAACTAGAGCAGCAGGACGAGCAGACCAAATAAGGAAGGGTAACCCCAAACATAAATTACCCTACCTTGGCATTCAACCTTTGAGGCGCAATAACTTTGCAGCCGATGCCCGGAAAATATGCTTTACCACGTCAGAAAGGATCCTGGCGATGCTCCGGTCCATTTGGGGTGGTTGAATGAACGCATTGCGGAGTTGAGGAAACACTGCAAAATAAACACGTTTTAGACCCCCAAAAATTACCCCCGGAGCGTCGAACCGCCGGAACCCTCCTGTTTCAGCCCGGTGCATCTTTGGGGGGGTAAGAGTGCGACCCAAACTACCAAAGCAAACCTTTGCTTTAAAAACACCCAAATCTATTCTAAATACTCTGAATAAGCAATTGCTGTCTGGTCGGCTGTTTCCTCTAGTTCCTAGGATCCCGACCCTTTCTTGGCAAGGATTGCGAGATTTGACTCGGACGAAAATTCGTCCGCGGTGTGGTAGCAACTCTTCTCCTCCCCCCTGATAGAAAATAGGTGGTGCCCCCAGATTATTTGAAAGGCGGACGGCCAGTGAAAAAAGGAAAGAGGTAATGAAGGAAGGGGCGCCGAACTTCCATAAAGGAACTCGGTTGCCCCAGCTTGGCTTCGGGGGGATCAGCGAGTCTTTACCAGCGAGGAGCCCCCTTAAAGTTATTAAGTTTCTAGACTACAAATAACGATCAAACAAATGAAACTCGATCTTTCCATCGAACGAGCCGAAAGGATAGCTTGTCGAATTCCTTTCTGCCTATCTACCTGATCGAAGTCACGGTCGTGCCCTTTCAAGGCACCCCCGTTACAGTATAACTTTAAGCTCCTCGCTTAAAGAACCCCACGAGAAA